GGTCCTTCTTTCGTAAATCCTTGAGAGTGTTCCTTTGATCTGCAGTATATGTGGCTTCTTGCTCGGTAGTGGGTACAACATACCCATTACTGACAACTTCCCATAGCTCTTATGATCCAAACAATGCTTTGAATTGGATGCACCATCTTTCATAATTTTCTTTCTTCAATGTGGGAACTTGGAGCTGCACTAAGTTGGATGCCATAACTGCTGCACCTGCCAGAATGGTATTCTGGCTCTGATACCAATTGTTGGTATTGAAAAGTTTACTAACTCAATACCAAAATATGTGGGTGATAAGTTTACAAACTCTATCACACCTCTCACTTTCACTCTCAATAAAATTGGACAAAAAATTGAGAAATGAGGGAAGCTACAAGCTTTGGCAAACAAGGCACTTTGATATTAAAAACAGATTGCAAATACACTTCTAGAATTGAATGAAAAATCAGATGGGATTAATACACTAAAGCCTTACGAGAGGCTTCCTTAAATACAACACAACCTACACCTTTACACCATCAATTGACAGCACACAGACAGCAGCATATCTGTTGTCTTTAACACATGGGAACGTGAAAATGAAGAGACCAAATGTATTCCAGGTTGTCTACATTCGGCTAGCACACAGCAGCTGTCTTTCCAGCTGCAAATAACACAGATTCGACTAGCACATGGCAGCACACTGCTGTCTTCCTGCTAGCACATCACATGGCAGCACACTTGCTGTCTTTCATTACCATTCGGCTGAATAATGAAGGAGCAATGATGATTATATTTTGCTGGAAACAATCTGTAAAGAAAGGTTAGCATCACATGGACAGATCACATGACTTTTAATTTGAATTTCCAACAAATACAACCACGGGTTTTCAAGAGATCATTGATTGTGTGCCATGTAGGGTTGATCAGTTAGATAATAATTCTTTGACTGCTCTGATGACTGATATGGAAATTGAGAATGCATCACATCAGATGCATCCAACTAAATCACCTGGTCCGGATGGGTTTAATGTAGGTTTTTTCCAATTTCATTGGGAGACGGTGGGTGGTGTGGTCTTAGGTATGGTTAAATCTTTCTTTCAATCTGGACGGTTGCTACGGGAGTTAAACCATACAAATATTGTCCTTATTCCAAAAGGGGATAAACCAAGGAAAATAACACAGTTTCGGCCGATCTCTTTGTGTAATGTGGTGTATAAGATCATTTCCAAGGTTCTGACAAACCGGCTAAAGAAAGTTGTGTGAACACGAAAAATTCCTCACTGAAATTTCGATGTCTACAAGTTGTTTCAAAAGTTATTAGCCCAAATCAGTCAGCGTTTGTTGTGGGGCGACAAATTTCGGATAATATTTTGGTGGTTCATGAATTGTTACATTCTATGAAGCAAGGGAATGATGAAGGTCTCAATTTTATAGCATTAAAATTGGACATGGCTAAAGCTTATGATCGTGTTGAATGGTCTTTTTTGAATGGTATGATGCATAAATTGGGGTTTGATGATATCTTCTATCAGTGGGTCATGAAGTGTGTGTAGACTGTCTCTTACAATGTGATTATCAACGGTGATGGAGGCTTTACATGGTAATGATTTACTTCACAAATATGCTGATGGTTCTGGGCAATGTGTTAATTTGGAGAAGAGCTCGGCATTTTTTAGCTCAAGTTGTCCGCAAACAATGTGGATTCGTTTGTCGGCAATTTTGGGGATTAAGTACCTAGATAATTTTGGGTAGTATTTGGGTATTGAAGCTGATTTTGGGGGTTCAAAGAAGAAAGTGTTCGAAGATATACGGAATAAGTTGGTCGATAGAATTAATGGTTGGGCGGAACAGTTCCCATCGATGGCTGGGAAAGAGATACTCCTTAAAAGTGTTGCTACTGCGTTGCCTAACTACACAATGTCTTGCTTCCAGCTTCCCATTCAATTGGCTAAGGAGATTGAGCAGGTGATTGCTCGATTTTGGTGGAGGGATCCAAAAATGCAGAAGGGAGTTCACTAGTTGGCTTGGAATAAAATGTCGAAAAGAAAGGCTTCTGGTGGTCTTGGGTTTAAAGAAATTATTTCGTTCAACTTAGCTATGCTAGCAAAGGTTGGATGGAGGATTATTTGTAATCTGACCTCTCTTCTGGCTATAATTCTTCGAGTAAAATATTATCCCAATTCGTCTTTTTTGTAGGCTCCAATGGGTATTGGCACTTCATGGGGATGGAAAGGCATATTGCAGGGATGAAAAGTCTTGAAAAGGGGGATCCGGTGGAGGGTGGGAGATGGACGGAGTATTCGTATTCTAAAGGATCCATGGTTGCCTACATTGCGCACGTTCCTACCCATTTCACGGTTGGAATACATGCCATTGGTGGTGGGGGATTTGGTGGGGGGGGGGGGGGGGGGGGGGAGGGCGTGTGGGGCGGGGCTTGGGTGGGGTTGTGGAATTGGTCCATGGTTGAACTTTGTTTTAATGAAGAGGAAGCACATATCATTCTAAGTATGCCAGTTAGTAAGTTTGGGTGTCCTGATCGATTGATTTGGCATTATACGCGGAATGGGAATTACTCTGTTTAGTCTGGTTATATGGTGGCTCAGGAAATGAATAAAAATGGAGAGCTGGGGAGGAAGGGTGGGGGATAAACAAGTAAGGATCATGTTATTGATCCTATTTGGAGGATATATGGCGGTTGAATGTTCCTCCTAAGATTCGTCACTTTATTTGGAAGGGGTGTAAAAATGTTCTTGCTGTGAGATCTAATTTACAACGACGGGGTGTCCATTTGGCGAATGAATGTCCACATTGTGGGGAGGATATTGAGACACAGGTTCATATATTTTTCAAATGTCCTTTTTCTCGTGTGTTTTGGTTTGGGTCTCCTTTGCAGTTGGATGTGATGTTAGTGGACGGGGATGATTTCTTGGCATGCTGAAAATGGATGTTGGCAAAATATGGTGCGGTGGAGGAGGGTGATAGGTTGATGAGGTGGGTGATATGCGGTTTATGGAGGATTTGGAAGTGTAGGAATATTATGGTTTTTGAGAAATCTACGGTGAAGCCGAGTATGGCGCTGGAGTTGTTGAAAAAGCAATGAGGGGAGATTGATGAGTGTGATTAGGATAAAGAGCTGTCTACCTGCAGCAGAAAACAAGGGGGGACGCTGCCTGCTTGTAGCGAACAAGGAAGGGATGAGGGGGATCATGATCAGTGGAAAAAGCCTCATTTTCAAACCATTAAACTTAAATGTGATGGCTTGGCTTAATCAAATGCGTAAGGGAAGTTTTGGTTGGGTGGCTAGAGATTTTGCGGGGGCGTTTAAAGCAGCTGGGGGTGTGGGGAATGTTTACTGTGAATCAAGTTTGATGGCGAAAGCGGAGGCGGTGCGAGCTGCTTTGGTTGGCATGCTTGGAGAGGGGATTTGGGTGTGTTCAAATTGAAACAGATTCAAAGGTTCTAGTGGACATGCTCACTGGTGGTATATAATTGGCGGCTAATGTGGAGGGTATTTTATGGGATATTTATCATCTCAAACAACAATTAAGTTGAGTTTCTTTTTACCCCGCATGTTTGCAATAGGGCTGCACATTTAGTGGCGGCTTATGTTATGCGAGTGGGGGATGTCATCTATGAGATTACCTTGAACCGGAGTGGTTATTTAATACTCTGGCTTATGATGTAAACATTTCAATTCGTCTCTAATAAAGTTCTACTCTTTGGAAAAAAAAAAAAAAGATTAAAGGGGTGTGGGAGTGGGATAAGTATCACATTGGGTTAGTAATAATGTGATTTTTTAAATTGGCATTTAGTGAGAGTCGAGCCTAAGACCTGTTATTTAAAAGTGAAGAGGAATACCACTAGACTATAGTTCTAAGTGACAAAAGATTAGCATATTAGTATACCACAAAATAAATAGATCTTTACATAAGTAACATATCAAATATTAAGAAAGATCAACAAATTGCATGTACAAAAAAATTTAAAAATATTCAAAAACTTGTAAAATATATAAATTTTCAAAGTTATTCCAATTTAAAAAATATCAAATATTCTCATCTGTCTGATAATCTAAACTATCTATTAATAAAACTATTTTTGTCAACCAAAATACAATGAAAATACTATTTAGTCTTCTATCACGCAAAACAATTGATGGACAATAATGTAACTTCAAATATCTAAATTTTAATTTTTTTTTTATTGAATCCTCATCTACAGGTGATGTTAAGATATATCTAATATTTATAAATAAATAAATAAAAGCCCTCCTATTCCCACCACATTATCTCTCTCCCTTCCTTCTTTTCATTTTAAAAACAAAAATAAAAAAGTATTCATACACAAAGTGTGTAAGCATATGCTAGTTACATATTTAAAAAAAAAACTCTCATTGTTAACCAAAACACTATTGAATTACCATTCTAAACCTCTAATCAAAACTGAATTTTGTCGAGCCAAACCTCTAAATTAATTTTACACAACCAAAATTTTTCTGTTTTTTAAAGTCTCACCTACATATTATTTTAACATATCTTTAATTAAAAAATTAAATAAAAAAAACCTGTCTCCCTCTCCTCCCCACTCCCACATCATCTCTGTTTCTCTCTCATTCCATTTTAAAAACAAAAATTAAAAATATTCACACGGTGTGTGGGCATGTGTTAGTCAAATTCTATGGCCACACATATTTTCTTGCAAAACAGTAGATTTTGCCAAAGACAAAAAACTTGACTTGAAAATATAAAATTGAGAAGGAAAAAATGAAAATAAATGAAAGAAAAAAAAAAAAAAAAAAAAAAAAGGGGTGAAATTGGGTAACCATTTGGAAGGAACTAGAATGATCGATATAGCATCTAAATTTCCATTTTCGAATAATATATACTTACTGATGAAATGTATTTAACCAAAAATGCGACTCTCCCTTTACAGTAACCGGTCGAACCCCCCATAGCTATACAAATTAGGGCTTTGCAGGTTCTCTCTTCTGGAATTCTGATCGCATCTTATCCATTTGTCCTCCATTGAACTTGGTTTTCGATATTTAGGGCTTGAAGCAGAGGAATCGGAATCGCACTTTTAGCGGCTTCGCACAGATCATCTTCGATTTCAGAGTTCTCAAGATTTGCGATCGGCGTTTTGGTTGAAGGGAATTTCAGGTGAGTAGTTTGGTTCTTATTTTTCAGTTTATAGAAATTTGGGATTCGAATAGTTTACGGAATGAAATTTATGCATTCAGACTGTGGAATCGGCATTTGATTGGCCAATTTGAAAATTAGGGCACAAATGCAATGCCAAATCCATGGAATCGAGCTGAGCCTAGAGGGGTTTTGTTTGTAATTGTTTGATTTGAGGAAAATTGCAGATTTTGCGCAGTTCTTTCAGTCCAGGATAATAAAAATTAGGGATTTTTTTTTGGTGTGATTTTATCTATTCGTAATTGTTCAGCATAATCAAAATTAGGGTTTTTTTGTGTGTGGTGATTTTCAGGTACGTAATTGTTTATTTCGAAAGGGAAATGCGCGGATATGATAGAGATGTAAGCAAATACCCAATCTTCATCGGTCTACTTATTATTTGTATGTAAATTTTTTATCTTGATACTCTAATATTTTTTTTGTAGAAATTAGTTTGACAATTTTTCGACTGTTGTTTTTGCATAGGAATATGGTCAGTCAGGCAATGAATATGAGGACTATGAGGATGAAGAGGATGGTGAAGAGTCTGAAGAGGAAGATCCAAAGCCTACCAAGGAAGCATTGAAATACCTTGAGTTTAGAGAACGCATCAAAGAACAAGTACGAAAGAAGCTGAAGAAGGAGGAAACTGGTTCTTCTTTGGCCAACTCCAGTGATAAAAAGAAGAAGCTCCCCAATGACAAGTGAGTAACTACTGTATAACTGCCATTTTTTCTTCGTGGAAAATCCATGCTCAGTGTAAGATAAAGGACGCGGTTCTGTTTGTTTCTAGTACTATGTTCAATACTTCCTTATTGTAAGTAACCAATGTCTATTTTATGAACACTATTTGGCCTTATTATCTGAAGTTGTAGGGAAGCAGTAACTGATGCAACTAAAATAGTTTTGTAATGTATTGATGGGCTTACATTCTACCAGAACCTGTAACGATATGTGTTTTATAGCTGCAATTTCTAGGACAGGCCATTTTTTTTCCCAGGGATATCACACCTTGAAAGTAATGTAGAGACAATGAGGATACATTCTGAAGAGTTGCTACCCTTGCTTTATTTGCAGTTCCTTGTATTCTTTTTTTGTGACGAGGTTGTCAGGCAGATGATTTATTTCATAGTTTTTCTGTGGACATTATACTGCTAACTGGTAAGCTGAAGTTTTAAAATTAATTTTAAATTGTTTCCCTGCTTATTCTGCAGTTTTGGATCTTTCTTTGGCCCATCTCAACCAGTTATTGCTGAGAGAGTGATTCAAGAAAGAAAGTCGTTAGAAATCCAGCACCTGACGTCTAGCGCAACCAACTCTGTCCATGTGTGTATTATTACTCCCCCTTTTTGATAGAGCTCATAAGATTCATAACATTACTTGCTCACATTGACTTTTTGGCTAGCTGTCATATACATTTGGTCTACGCTTTACACATATATGAGCCCAGTTATGCTGTCCCAATCCCAAAATAATTATGAGATAGTTTTGGCCCTGTAATCTTTGTGTTTGTTGTATCTTGTTATTTGTGGAAAGTTGGGGGAACTTTTAGTTTGTTCAAAGACATGGATTTGACATGTATTTATTCAGCTTTGCATGTGGTGTAATTTACAACATTGTGCTCGAACCATTTTGGAGTTGCTTCTACTTTCCTCCTCTTTTCCTTGGTTCTACTTTTAAATTTGATGAAAGGGTTACTGATGACTCGCTTCTTGGTGAGGGTCAGGGATCCTGTTTCCAGATACACTATATGGGTTTATATCTTAAAACTTTGTGACTTATTTGGCATGCCTGATTTGTTCTTGCTGCTTATCTTGTTTAATCTTCAACCTTGCTTGTAGCTGCTCCTTTTTATGCACCACAAAAATATTTTCTTGGAACTCTATTTTATGATCATGCAAATGTTTACAAATATTTTATACATGCCTAAAATCTTGATGCAGATAAATATTTTGTTGCTTTTTTTTTTTTTTTTTTAAACACAAAAACATGTCTATAAGTTTGTTCATGCAATATTACTGTTTATGCATTGAGAAATTTGAAGCATTCTTCCTGTGTTGTAGTGCATTAGTTTGATGATCTCACTTGCCTCTGCAGAAAAAGAAGAGCTCTGGTTCAACCTCTGCTGGATCGAAATCTGGATCATATGATCAGAATCCCAAAGTCATTAATGAGGTACTTGGAGCAAATTGTTTTTGTTGGTGTTTTACCTCTGAATTAGTCTTCTAGCTGCCTTATTTTGTGCTAATGGAATTTCTGGAAGGTGCAGGCTAAGACTAAAGTACAAAAGATTAAGGATACGAGAGATTACTCTTTTTTATATTCTGACAATGCAGAGCCCCCTGCTTCTGCAAAGGATCGCCCCCCTCAAAATGCCTCTGTTCCAAATTCTGGTGTGTTGCTATCTACTACCTCTTATCTGGGTCTTAATTTATGGGTCATTGAACATTCTATTTTCATTGAGGAACTTATACAGGTTTTTTGCTGATGTTAAAGGGGTGCGGTCTAGTCAAATGGCGACAAGTAGTAAATTGCCTTCAGCAAATAATGGTAGACATGTACCTTCGGCAAATAATGGTAGACATGTGCCTTCGGCAAATAATGGTAGACATGTGCCTTCGGCAAATAATGGTAGAGATGTACCTGGCCGTCGTGATGAAAGGAAACCAGTATCTATGAACGGACAGATGCATTCTAAAGTGGGGCCCAATAAGTTGAGTTCTTCCAGTAGACGACCTGATGCAACATCAATGGGCTCTAGAAAACAGCTTGGTAGTAACAGTGGAAATGGCCCTGGCCGGCCTCTAGAGACAAAAAGATTGCCGTCTAAGATGCCTGCTTCAACGACTGAGAGGAAAGCTTCTACACCAGGTCTGAAGAATCCCATGTCTGGTGTGCCCAGACCACCTCCTTCGAAGTTGCAGTCATCCATTCCAAGGCAGCAGTTGCAACAAAAAAAAGAAGTACGAGAACCTAATAAGCCCAAAGTGTTACTGAAAGAGTCATCAGGATTGTCAAGACCTCAGGTATAAATCCCACCATCTGCTACATATTTTCTTTCCTTTGAATGGTAATTTTCCAGAGACCTACTTCTCTATTTTTTCTGTAAGTGCATAATATATGTTTCCTTTCATGGAATTTAGCACGTAAACAAGCCACAAATGCAAAGGCAAATCTCATCACATTCTGTGTCTCAAGAGCGTCCTCCCAAAAAGAAGCCTATGAGACGGCACCCTGATGATGATGACCCGGATCTGGATTTTAGAAGTGAGATCAGAAAATTATTTCGGTGAGTAAATTTTTTTTTTTTTAATTCATTTTCTTTTAATTTTTACATGGTTCTATTGAGGTTGATTTCAAAATTGAGTCTTGCTGAAATGACATTAGTTTGCTGGATGCAGTTTAGCTCTTTTTGATGAATTCATGATTAACGATGTACAAGCTAAATGCCCACCAAAAATGTTTGTTTATATTTCATTTGTTACGTTGAATATATTCAAAATTGAAGCTTGAGGGTTTTTAGCTTGGTGACATGCCTGACGCTAAGAAATTGGAAATTATGGATTGAATTTGTAATATCAGTGATTGAAAGTTGCCTGGTGTTGGCCATTACAAGAATTATCATCTTTGTTTGGAGTTTTGGTGGTTAACTGTGATTTATTGTACTAATTATTAATCTGCAAATTATAATGATCAATCTGAAATGCTTGCAGTCAACCAGAAAGATATGCTAGTGACGACGATGATAGTGATATGGAGGCAAACTTTGAGGATATTATGAGGGAGGAGAGACGAAGGTAAGTAGGGTGTTTCCCTTAATTTCATGATACTTAATTTTCCATTTTCATTTCCGTAAAATATCATATGCATTATGTGGTTCCTTAACACTAATTGTACTTGTCATTTAGTACTAGGTCTAGTGGTATTTTTCTTCACTTGTAAGTAAGAAGTTTTAGGTTCGATTCTCGTCAAAGGTGAACTTGAATCACATTATTGCTAGTCCATTGTGAGGTTAAGCCCACCCTCTCTTCCTTGGTGTAGATAATATCGTTTGTTAAAAAAAAAAAAAAAAAAACTCTAATTGTACTTTTGTCAAATATACAATGTACATGGTCGTGTATGAGCCTTTCTGTTTTGTTGCGATGTTGCAGTGCACTAATCGCAAGAAAGGAGGACGAAGAGGAGGCTAGGAAGATAGAAGAAGAAGAAAGGAGGGAACGGATAGCGAAATTAAATCGCAAGCGTAAGCTCGGTCATTAGAGTGACTGTAGGAAGGGAAGTGGAATTCTTTTCGCCTCACTTGAAAAAAAAAAAAGTGAATGAGAAAAATTCTTTGGTCAATTCAAGTCTCACCGCCGTTGAATTTTGCTCGTTCTGAAGTGAAATTGATGTTATGCGACTAAATTATGCTGAAGCTATAGGGGATTTTTCGTTGCTCATTCAAATGTATTTCTTAGAATGTAGAATATGTTGTGATATCAATTCAACCACACGTGGGATTGCGTAAATTCTTCGTAGGTTTGATTTACTTTTTATATTAGTGATTTTATTTTATTAGGATTTGTATTACTTTGAGAGTAAGTGTTTTTATCTCATAGTTTTTTTATAAATAAAGGTACGGGTGCAAAGGAGAATACATATCTATGAAATTCCATACTTCTCTCTCTATGCAACTTGTAGAAAAAATAGGTCATAATATGTTATCAACACGCTCTTGATGTTGTTATAAGAAATTTTACAACAAAACAATTTGCTAGATCGCAATCCAAGATCTAAAATAGTCTCGTCAATATTTTTTCAGCATGATTGAGCAAACTATTCACCATTAAGCATGAACTGTAATTTTCGATTAGCGAATTATATATTTTACGCAATTAATTGCTCGCAATTATATTATTATTACTGTATAAGCGGTGAACTGTAATTTTCGATTAGCGAATTATATATTTTACGCAATTAATTGCTCGCAATTATATTATTATTACTGTATAAGCGGTGAATTGTATATGTGTGAATAAGAAACGAAAAAGCAGAAAAAATTGTGAAAATCGTGTTACAGTCAGCACACGCCGAGTTGAGCTACCGCTCCACAACCATAGGCCTGAAGTCGTGTCAGTTAAGTCGCCTCGTGTAGAGCCGTTGAGATTGTTCTAAACCATAGGTCCGAAAACGACGTCGTTTTCTGGAGTCTCCTTCGTCCAGACGTCAGGCTGCCCCCTGGTTTGGCTTGCAGCGCACCTCGCTGCTGCCACTCATCAGAAACTGGTGAAACCATTCTCCCTTGACAATCATCAAGCGTCTTGTGGTTGTCTTCGACGACTGGAAGTCGTCCCGGCAAGATACCTCGAGGTTTCCTACGAAATCTCACTGCAGTTTGAGTGTTTTCTCATTCCTCAATGGTTTGGAATCCCGTCCTGTTGAAACCCCGACCAAGTTTGATCGGAAACCACCGCACCACTGTGCTGCTCTTTGTTTTCTCGACGGAAACACACATTTATTGGGACTTCGCTTTCACTTTTCCTTTCTTAACCCAATAATTGGGCCTGGGTTTTGTTAATCCATTGAATTTAATCTAATTTATTTACAATTGCTTTATACATATATTGCCTTCTGTATATGCGTTTGTTTGCATGAATTAGGAACCCGAGATGAATAACCTGGTTGGCAAAGCTAAAAAAATTGTTTGTTTTCCTGAAGTGGGTTTAAGACATGAACTCCACCTCATTACAAAGAGTCTTAGGGCTACCAAGAAAGCAGGGATAACCCGGTTAGCACAGCTAAAAAAGTCACTACCATGATCTTCATCTAAAGACATATGCATGACGCGATGCAGACTGAGTATCTCGGTGAGAAGGATCCAATAGCTTTATGGCTCGTTCTAGAAGAGCATTTTGATCATCAAAAAGATATATTTTTTCCTAAATCAAGACACAACTGGCAGCATTTATGCTTCCAAGACTTTAAATCTGTGAATAAATACAATTATGAAGTTTTTCGAATGACATAACTCCTCAAGTTCTTAAAGAGGACTTGACATAACAAGATCTCTTGAAGAAGACTTATTCAACCTTCTATGCCACCAATATTGTCTGCAGCAACAATATAAGGCATAATGTCTTACTCCTTGCTGAGAAACAAAACCAACTGTTGATGAAGAATCATCAAGCTAGACTTACTAACTCAAGCGCCATGCTCGAAACACATGGCAACACATCTCGAGGCCCACAAGGACGCAACAAGCATCGAGGCCTTGGGAAGGGTTCCAACCCCAAGCCCCAGGCCGAAGGTTGACATAACAAAAGTCAACCCAAGGGAGGAAATTCGGCCACAAAACGCGATTCAATGGCTCCAAAGGCTTCAAACTTCAAGAATAAAAGCAAAGCACGTGCTACTATATAAGCAAATATATGTCACTGTTGTGGTTTAAAGGACTATTGGTTTGTAGTTCATCGAGCTCGACTTGTTGCAGAGTATCATTCAAGTCATAAAGCCATGGAGACTAACTTTGTTCAAGTGGATAATCCCGAATATACCACTTTGGATATTTCTGACTTTCAAGAGGCATTTGAATTGATGGAAGATTAGAACTTTTAGATATGGCCAACATGTGGATGAGTTCCCCTAATGGTTGAACTCCCCTTGATTTTTTTTTTTTTTTTTTTATTTTTGTTTGTTTTGTTTAACTTTCCGAACAATTTTCTATGTATTTGGATTATTTGTTGGTGTTTTGTTTTGTATTATTTTGGATAATTACTATATGGATATTTCTCGAATGATTAATTGAATGAGTGGAACTCGAAATTTAAATTTCCTTATACATGTGGCCAATTCAATTAATTTATTTCTAGGTAAGTGATTGTGGGGTAGTTAGTTGTCTAGTAGATAGTACAACCACGCACACCATCTCACACAAGTGTCACTATTTTACTAACTTCATACCTAAAAGTTCACCTCTGACAACCCTTTCAAGCCCATCCATGTATAATGTTGTTCGATGGTCTGAATTAACCATTAAAGAGGCACTTTACTCACCTCTTTCCAAAAGAATGCTTTTGAGCTTTAAAGATATTCAGGATAATAATTATCACGCTGAAACCACTGAAAATAATGGAGGTGAATTCCTTTGCATCACTTCATATGAATATGCCAAGAAGCATATATATGAGAAGATGGAGCACATTTGGAATGAGTTGTATGTCACAACCATTCATGCCTCTGAGGGCCAGTCACATAGGCTTGCATTGGAAAACATGCTTTGGCATGATCATTTTGGACATCTAGGAACCATGATGATGTGTCCGTATCCTCAATGCTACACACTGGCGTCCGCTTAGGCAAAGTAAGCACATCATCCCTGGCAATGCCTATTGCAAAGCTTGTTCTTTGGGTAAGTTTATTACTTGCCCATCTTTAGACAAAGTTCGAAAGGACCCTAACTTTTCTTCAGTGGATTTAAGGGGACATTTGTGGACCTATCCAACCACCATGTGGACCATTTCGTTACTTTTTTATGTTGGTTAATGCATCGACATGATGATCACATGTTTATCTACTGCCTACACTGCATTTGCAGAACTTCTGGCACAAATTATTAAGCTTAGAGCTCACCACCATGATTATTTGATTAAGTCGATTTGACTGGATAATGCTGGAGTGTTTACGTCGTAAATTTTCGATGATTACTGCATGTTAGTTGGAATTGAAGTTGAACCTCATGTATCCTATGTTCACATCCAAAATGGCTTATCAGAAGCGTTCATAAAGCACTTTCAATTCATCGCTCAATTTTTGGTCATGCACACTAAGCTTCCGGAATCTACTTAGGGCTATGCAATTTTGCACGGAGCTATCTTGGTTCATCTAAGACCTATTACTGCATAACCTTATTCACTGGAACCGTTTGTTAATGGTATCTGCCTGACATCTCGCACTTACTTGTATTTGGGTGCATAGTTTATGAGCTAATAGCGTCGCCACTGCACACCAAAATAGGTCATCAGAGAAGAATGGAAATCTATGTCAGTTATGATTACCATCAATTATTCACTATTTAGAGCCCTTGATAGATCTCTTCACCCCATATTTTGCGAATTGTCACTTCGATGAGACAATCTTCCCGTCATTAGGGGGAGATAAGAACATTAAAGTTCCTGAAGAACACCATGAATTGTCTCAGAGTAACCCTACTATGTCTCATTTAGATCCCTGCATTACCCAGTCTAAAATTGAAGTACAACATATTTTAGATCTACAGAGCGTTTCTTAGAGCATGCCAAATGCTTTTAATAATCTAGCAAAAGTGACTAGATCACATATACCAGCTGCAAATGAAATGAGTCTGGAAAGATAGATGTATATCATGTACATTGAAACATCGCCCTTGAAGGATGAGCTGTCACTGAAGGATGGTTGACCTCATATCCTAGTATACTATGGCTAGCCAATCATCTGCTTCGACCCCATAACCCCAAAAGAGGAAGCACACAACCCAAACTAATGAAACTAGTGTAAATAAGACCATCGCCTGCTCAACCATTCAACACATGAGGTTATTTTAGATTATAGTGTTCTAGAAAAGATGAATCCGCCTCTCGAGAATCGTGGGATTTCAATCCATTATGCTAGCTTGGATGAGTTTTCAATTTTAATGAGATGATAGTCGATGATATATTTGATACACAGTAGCTACATATATAATGTTGAGCAATGACATTGAACCATGTTCGGTTGATGAATATTGACATAGAAAAACTTGGTCAAACTGGAAACACAAGGTGTTTGGAACATAGTTCCTACACCTCTACATGTGAAGCAAGTTGGCTACAAGTGGGTTTTCATAAGAAGCGTAATAAGAAGAATGAAATAGTGCGATATAAGATACACCTTGTGGGGTACGGCTTCTTTCAACGCCCTAGGATTGATTATGAGGAGACATATTCTCCTGTAATGGACGTTATAACATTTTACTACTTTATCAGTTTGGTAGTTTCCAAAAAACTAAATATGCAGTTATTTGGTCCTGAAACAATAGTTTGGGTCGAGATGGGTTAACCCAAGGACCATGGTTCTCTACGTAGTAAATATCCTTCAGGCTAATGGGCTTTTAGCCTATGAAGATCAGTTTAACCGAGTCCTCGTGATGGTAGGACCATGAAAATATTAAGTATGGGGGTTGGTTGGTTGAGTCCTATACGAACTGAAATTGCCAAGGATCAAAATAAGCCTTGGATAAATATGAATTATCCCAGGGATCAGAATGCCTACGTGATCAAATAAAGATGGATGAATCTCATAATAGAACTAGATTCAGAGTCCTAGTTAGAGTCAAAGAGGCCGAGGCTAGATGTAAGATGAAGTTTCTGCTGAGAGGGGATAAAAGGAATGTTTAGGCAAATGCCGAGCAAACACAGTCTTATGAGGACTTTACCTTGACATGCTTATTTATCAAGGAAGCCTTACCTATAAATAGAAGAGGCTCTGCAACATTGAAGCCTCTTTTAACTCAACAAACAACTCAAATGCTCTACGCGAAACCCTTATCACGTTTTTGAGACAAACATTAACTATCCTAATCAATCCTGACAACGCATCTTCTGTTTGAACTAACAACATTGTATCGATAACCGACGACATC